TTTGAAATTATGAACATTGCTCAACATCATGAAAATTAAACCTTATTTTCAATAAGCAATCCTGAAAAATATTTGGGGGTGCTTAACTTTTTTCCAGGTGTATATTTTACTCACACACTGATTTTTATAATTCACAGAATAAATTAATTGCATCAGTTCTGCATTTTATTGTAATTTAGATCACTATGTGAGTGAAAGACGAGACGTCTCAAAACACCATACATATACAAACACTATATGAAGTCTGGTCTTATTATTTTGTCGGTTCGCCCTTGTCCAGGGTTACCCCATTGACAAGTGGTAAATAGAATGACAGACTGGGCTTCACATTAATTTTTCATTAAAAAACTATTATCTTTTTCGTGTTCTTCCAGAAACCAGAAACACGTTATTTTCTTTGTTTTGATCAAAGATTAGAAAAAGATCTAACAGCACATTTTTTCATGATAATCTGAATCAGAAACAAATGTAAGTTAAGACATCTTCAATATTTGATTCAAACACTTGATTAGCATACATGTATCTATGATTTAAATATTTACCAGATACCAACTCTTACAGGAAAAAGACTTGGCCATTGGACCTCTGGAATGGACAGAAGACAGAGAAAAGGCCATTGATTTTACTTACATATTCCACGTGAGCTCGCTAACCTTTATAACTCGTGCTCCGTACTCTTCTGTCGATGCTGGGGTAATACTGGGGCTATTCACCTGGGAGGTAAGGAGGATTTTTGTATGCACATTTTGACACGCGGAGATTTTTATATGCACATTTCGCCATCCTGGGATTTTTATATGCACATTTTGACACACGGAGTTTTTTATATGCACATTTCGCCGTCCTGGGATTTCTGTATTCACATTTTGACACATGGGGATTTTTGTAGGCACATTTTGACACGCGGGGATTTTTATATGCAGTTTTTGCCACACTCATCTACTATACTTGGATAAGGTATTTGTTTATGTCTTTGTGTATGCTATTGTATCGCAGCAAATATAACGAATGTTCTTGGTTAACATAAAAAATCCAAACACTAGCTTTACTAACATTAAAAATATAAACTAAAAAAGAATCCAAAGGTGGAATCTGGTTCGAAATATGATCATTGAAACACTGGTGTGAATCATTACCATTCAACTGATGGTATCAAGAACCAAGAAAACATGTTGAGTTACCAGTCTGACGACCATTCGGAATATCTTGTGTGTTTTAGAGCAAAGCCGCTTTAGGCTATATACTGTGCCCACCGCCAGGAATAGAACCTTTGATTTTAAAGTTGTAAGTCCGTTAACTCACCGCTGTCCCACATCTTCTGGCCTCTACTTTAAAAACAAACATGGCTGCAGGTGATAATACCTGAAAGTAGAAAATACTATAAACTATGACCACCAATTTTAGGGATGAGAACCAAAGAAAAAACGTTAATTCAAATTTCACACGCTACTTTAAATATATCTATAATCTCAGTGAATAATCTTAGCCACTTTTGTATCATCGCTTTCACCATTGTTTTAAATTGTTTTAACCATTTCTGTGTTATCATTAACTAATTTTGTGCCATAATTAAATGACGTAAAACTTTTTATACAATTTTTGTTTTATCTTAAAATGTTTAAACCATTTTTGTGTTCTTATTAAATTCTTTACACCGTTTAGTGTTATCACAAAATCGGTTAATCATTTTTGTGTTATTAAATCCTTTACACCATTTTTGTGTTATCGTCAAATAGTTTAATCCATTTTTGTGTTATAATTGAATCGTTTAAACTATTTATGTGTTATCGTCAAATAGTTAAATCCATTTTTGTGTTATAATTGAATCGTTTAAACTATTTATGTGTTATCGTCAAATAGTTAAATCCATTTTTGTGTTATAATTGAATCGTTTAAACTATTTATGTGTTATCTATTGCTGCACCATTTTGTATTTTCATTAAATCGTTTTCACCACTTTTGTGTTATAATTGAATCGTTCTCATCATTTTGTGTTATCACCATTTAATAATATTATTCATAGCTGTATCGATTTGTTTGTTTGTTTTGTTGTTAAGCAAAAAGCTTCAAAACCAGATATCTGTGATGTACCCCGCACGGGTATTGAAACTCGGTTTTTATATTTAGGGTTATAAGCCTTCAGACTTACTGCTGAACTACGAGGTTGGACACCTGAATCGAAAGTTAAATATTTTAATCAATTTCAGTTGTCATTAAAGCGTTCTAATCGACTAGTTATGATTTTTTATTCAGTAGTAGATGTAATATTTGTGTCATGAATACGACTTATTCTTTATTAGCACCATTATCTTAGTACATATGTAAATCTATATAACTAATGATATGTACATTATTGTCGTTAATCAGTGACATGTAAACCTATATAAGTAATGATATGTACATTATTGTCGTTAATCAGTGACATGTAAACCTATAAAACTAATGATATATACATTATTGTCGTTAATCAGTGATATGTAAACCTATAAAACTAATGATATATACATTATTGTCGTTAATCAGTGATATGTAAATCTATATAACTAATGATATATACATTATTGTCGTTAATCAGTGATATGTAAATCTATATAACGAATGATATATACATTATTGTCGTTAATCAGTGATATGTAAATCCACTCGCTCCTTTTAATTCTTCTTCCTTTTTTGACTAGTTATCGAGTTGTTATATTTAGACGCTATATAAATTTTAATATATATTTTATCATTTTTAGACACTATATTAATTCAATATGTATTTTATTATTTTAGACACTATATACATTTTAATATATATTTTATTATTTTTAGACACTATATACATTTTAATATATATTTTATTATTTTTAGACACTATATACATTTTAATATGTATTTTATTATTTTTAGACACTATATTAATTTCAATATATATGTATTATTATGCTTAAACACTATACTGATTTTAATATATATTTTATTATGTTTATACACTATATTAATTTTAGTATATACTTTATTATGTTTATACACTATATTAATTTTAATATATATTACTTCAATACTCATCCCACAATACCTATTCCAGTTTCACTATTTTAATCCCAACCTAGCATGAAATATCACGCTTTATCGCTGTATATATGCTTGTCAAGTGTTTCTTACTTCATTGTATTAATACATGAATTTTTCAAAACTTATTATTTGTGTATGTATGCGAAGCTTTGACGTAGCACGTTGATCAAAAAATTCATTGAGTTACTTTTGGTCTAGCTACCTATTGTTCTGTGTCACTCACCTAGAGTAGTATCTTTTGTTTTCGCGTGGTAAAGATTGCTGCAAGGTCACCTGTATTATGTCTCATTGGGAGTGATCAGTCACGTGGATAACTGGATAACGACAGTCACTCTGGATAAGTCTGATGTTAACGAGTTAGGTAACGTGAGATTTATCATGTTTATAACAGGGTTATTCTGGTACAAGATCTTGACGTAAGCTAAAACAACTTCAGCGCTAGCTGTCCAGTAATGGTGACTGTCCATTGTAACACTCCCCTGGTGGGTCAGCGATGAATTCACAAACTTACAGTACTAAAATCCGGAGCTCAATTGACCGCGGTGGACAGAGCGCAGAAAGTCCATTTTGCAGCTTTGGGCTTAAAAACGACAAGAACGACAACTGTTCTTGCAAGTAAAATTCACTTTCAGTGTATCTTTAAATATGAATTATTTATTGTGATTGTACGAATGTATCCAGTCTATCTTTATTTCTCGCAAACTCAGTTAATTAGAAACTACAAAATTATTTTGCAGAAAATATCTTAACAAATTTTCCATTTTTCTACAGTCGTATCTTGTCACTCAAAGAAGAATTCGTTGTTATCTGAAAATACCACATTCTTAGGACTATTACGCTCTTTTGTAGGTGTGGGTGGCAATTCTGGCTAGCCTCGTCTTCAGTGCCCTAGCCTACACGTCCTTGAATTACGTTCATGAATCCATCGATGCTAGAAACAGTCAAGTCTCTGTCTCTCAGACAACATCCAAGTCGTGTTGGGTATTATTTGGTGCCTTCTTACTACAAGGTGAAGACTAAAAACATCTAGTTTAAATAAATATTTTCTTAGCACCTAGGTTAACGTATATAGGATTTAGTGTTACACCTGACAATCATAGGCTAATATTTATACGTATTGTTACGTCTCTGTTCGTTTGTTAATTTTCCGTATAATTTATTTCCGATGAAACTTCAACGATACAAGTCCTTTCTTAAATAAAACTAGTTTATTCCCTCTCAATACAACTTTGCAATATACTTAATTTCCACAGTCACTTTAGCTTATACACACGCTATAATTCACAACGATTCACGCGCTTTACTACCGTGCATGACTCAATTATCCGTCTCTGTCTGTCTGCCATTGTCTATATCTCTGCCGTCACTTCTCGCCGGTCTTATATATACGAAATAGAAGGCGTCTGGAGAACGCTCGAGGCTTCTACGAACGGACGATGATCTTTCTTAGTAATCTCATGACGTGTTACTATCGTCACGTGACTTCCG